ATTTGAAGACCCCAAGGAAAGCATTTTTAAAGAAACTGCACAATTTTGAAAGATAAATGACTGGTAACAGTATTGAGAACAGAGCTGTGGAGGCATAGCTGGGGATAAAGACACTTACCTGAAATAACACTTCGTTTGTCTAAGGTATCTACTGAAGACCCAATATGTGGCAGGCGTTGGGCTGCTTGGGTTCTGTCCTCACAAAATGTATAACATAGGGGTTGAGATAAAACTGTAAGGAAATAACCCAATACAATGTAGTAAAGTGCTGTGATAGAGGTGGCGATGCTGAGAGCTGGTACCGAGGAGGAAGTCCGTGGGATGCTGAGGGGGAGTGAGAAAAGTCACAGCCTGGAGACACGGAGGCAGAATCCTTGAGACTCACAGGAGTTTGCAGGCAGACAAGAAAATGTGTTGTGCAAAGATGAAAGCAGGAGATGAAAATAATCACACACATTCTGTGGATAACTGTTTGGGTGAGGGAACAGAATATGGGATGTACATGTGGCCAGTGGCAAGAGAGGAGTTAATGGTGGCTGGCCAAGTCATGAAAAACCTTGACAGCCTTGACAGTTTTTAAGAAATGCAGGGTTTGTACCAGACTGCAGACTTCCAAGACCAGGAGTCACGTGGTTAGACTTACAGATTATAATGCAGAGAAGTATTTTACTGTATAACTAATGAATAGAGCTTTAAGGAGCAGGGGGGCATTAAGTGGTTAAACCAGGCTACATATCAGAGTCCCCTAGGAACTTTTTAAAAATGCTGATTCACAGGCACCCCCTCAGAAAAAAATCCAACTCTCCAGGGACTCAGAGATGAAAATGTGTTTTTTAATAACTTCCCAAGGGATTCTAATGCTCGGCTGTGCTATACAACTGCTGATTTAATGCATTATCAATGGTGATTCATATACAGATCTCATAAAGCAGTTACTAAATCAGCAGACAGAGAGATTTTAGTGCTAGACAAGGTATCTCATTAAACTAAATTTGACCCTTTCATTTATATATACCCTTCTTGATAATTTTATGAGGTTATAATGCTGGATAACACCAATTCATAGTAGTATGTATGCAGACCCATTAGGATAATTAGTTATCTAATTAAATCTAAAATAATTGAGATGGTTTTGGGTGTCTACCCTTGGATTTCTAAAAGTAATTACTGAGATAACTGCTTGATGTCTTCACTGGCCTTTCACTAAGGAGCTCTTTCTCTGGCAGAGTGGAATGCCTCAGTCTGTTTAAACTCAAGAGCAATTGAAAGGTGCCAGGAAGTCCTGTGGCGTAGGCCCTCACCACGCCTATAGACACAGTCTACCAGAAGCCACAGCCTCCAAATCAGCCTTCGTGTACCATCTTCTGACATTCACATCTAGCTAGCCACACTTAGCTGCCTACCAAACTATGCCCCTTCTCAGTATGTGTACAGCAGGCAAATGGCTGTAAATGCCTGTTTATATGACCAGAAGAGGTTTCTGCCAGGTGACACAAAATGAACGTGACTAAATGAGTGTTGGATGGCCACTTAGCAATTTGACCTGGTGATGAAGCAGGCGTGGGAGCAGAGACAGAGAAAGGTAGTTCATGTGCCCAGTGGCCTTGCTCACTGAGGCCATTATGAGAGTCACTGGGAGGTGAGGGAGATTCCACCATTTAACCCACATCGACCTGGCTCTGACTCTAATCCCAGCCACCAACATACTGTGGGACTTCTGGAAAATTACTTTACCTCTCCAAATGTCATCTCCTCAGTTGTAAAATAGATACTTATAATATTTTCCTTCCAGGTAATGAGGATTATTATTAAAACACTTGTTAAATTACCAGAGCAGGCTGGATGTTTACCTCCAGTCATAGAAAGTGTTCATCAGACAACCTCAGTAAGTCTGTGGAGAAAGACGTTTCTCGTATTAACAAGAATAAATTCTCTCCACCTCTCCATATATGTTAATTGGACCAAAATGAGAAAAATAAAGGGCTAAGACAGTTTATGGTTATGAATCAGCCAACAATCAAATAAATATTCATGGCTCAACTCATGAAAGTATTCACATGAATAATTTAATGGACAAAATTAAAATGCTGGACTAAATTGTTATGAATTGCCTCATGTGACTTACGAGTGCAATTATACTCAAGGACTCTAGTCACATGCATAATTACACATTCCCATTCACCCTGACCATCAAATTACTTAGGAAAAATGTCCAAAGATTTTTTTTTTTTTTTTGGTCAGGTGACTGCAATTGTTCAAACATTAACACCTGGTAAGGAACAGCTCAAAATATCAAGGACTCAGCAGGCACCCCGGACTATGATCTCCACATTACCAAGTTCATCCAAGTGTTCTTGACAATTTTTAAATAAAGCATTCAAGTAACGCTTTCAAGTCAACAAAAATAAGATAAATACTCCAAAAGAAAAATGGGCATGAACATACAGTTCATGAATATACAGTTCATAAAAGATCTACAAAATAGCCAATATACAAATATTTTTAAATAAGGCAATAATTTTGTTTTTCAATTCATCAATATGGTAAAGAGTAAAGATAATGTTATTTAGTATTATTGAGGGATCAAGGAGATGGGTCTTTTACACTGCTGGTGGGAGCACAGGTCTGTGCACTTTCTATAAGAAACAAATATGGATCTTCTTTGATCTGCTTAATTCTAATTCAAGAGTTACATTATTAAAAAAATAGAAATTCCTCAATATATAAAGGAGGAAGGATGCTCAATACAGGGATCATTTGAGGCAGGTAATTTCCCCTCAGTTTTCCCAGTTATAAAAAAAATAGCTTAGACGGGGTAATCTTCAATCTTTTTCCTGGTATAAACTACACTTGTG